ATTGGTTTCTGGCATTTTTTTTTTTTTTTACCAAATCCTTCTACATTTTTAAGAAAAGGAAAAAATATATAATTCCAACTTCTTCATTTCCTTCCATTTTGTCCCTTCCCCCCAGGTCCCCATCTTCTACCGTCTCCCAGCCCCAAGGGGCTAGGGGTCAGGATAGAACTGGCCAAAGTTCAATAATACTTGTGATGGTTCCTTACATCCCTGTAACAATAGGACTGCCTAATATTAGACAGGAGTCCCCTATTTGGGGGGCATGACTGGATTTATTACTTTAACTAAACATAACTGTTATTCTTGATCTGAACAACACAAACTTTTGTTTGCAAAGTTGTAGAAACAGCCAAGAGAGTTGGAAAGAGGCTGAGTGAGTCTCATTATACTAATCCTCTAGGGATTCCAAGCCCCATCAAACTAGGGAGACAATTAGTTCCCTTAAGGAAACAAAGCTACAACCCAAATCTTTCAGCCCTGATATCACCTTCACAAAGAGATGTGTATATTCTGGGAGTAGCTCACCCATGGTCTCCTAGAGCCTCTTGTTTGGAGAAGAAACATCATCTCACAGAGACTGGGCCTATGTGAGGATGAAATTAAAGTCTTTATCAGTCAGAATCACCCCACTAGGCCAAGAGGAGGATGAGGAAGGATTGCTCCAAATGATAACTATACTTTTCCAAGGGTTTCTCCAGGATGAACTTGCTGAAAATGGAAGATTTTGAAGCACTCTGGGCTCTTCAGACTCTTTAGGATTAATTATGACAAAGCCCAAGGAAACCTTTTTACTTTGAGTGACCTAGGGAATGCAGCTGTCCATTCAGGAAGTTTTGGGATGGGACGTGTTCTTCAAGAATGCCATCAAATTCATGAGAGATGCAAAACTTACACCAACAGCAAAAGACCTGCATTTAGAGCCTACAGACAATATTGCAACCTCAAAAATACCCATGACAAGCAGTTCTCTCCTGCAATCCTGTGAGTAGTGCATTTGGAATGGCCTGATTGGGACTTCCCCAGAGATCTGCTAGAAACGCAATGCTGGACCTCCGGGGTCATCTCCACCTGGGCACTTCAGGGGGTGACAGAGCAGCAGTGGCTTCTTCAAACCCTTCTCTTCCAGGCACGGGTTTATATTCCATTATAAGGTCTGACACATCAGGGACAGGCACGGGGTCTCACTGTCACTTTAGCCCCACCATCCAGGTCAATGCTGGAACAGAGCAGGGGCTAAATCAATGTGTTTTCAGTCAGAGCCTTTACACTGCTCACTCTCACTGAGGGACTGTGCCCAGCCAATGTTGTCCCACCTGTGCCCTGTGTAATTGTCCCCTTGGAAATCCCAAAGCTCTGGACAACATCGAGTCTGGGTGAAACTCTTAATGCTTTCCCTTAGAAAGGGAAGATTTCACCCTTATTCCAAGTGGACTAGAACTGTTTGGAAGAGCACGCAGTTCCAAGGTGGCAGGGCAAACGGCCAGGTCATCCATATTTTCCCACTGGGCACTACACGACTGCCCCTTAAAACAATGAATGTCTGTCGTGGATGGTGAAGCCATGTGCAGGCTCTCAGGCTGTCAGCAAGTCTCCCCACTCATTTATCAAGCATGTAGGACAAAGGGGGATGTGTCTGGGATTCATGAAGTGGCCCACTTCCCCACAGTTGGTGATCAGTGGTTTAAAATAGGAAAAAAAACCCCAAAAGTTTATCAGCTGTCCTGTCTGTGTGCTATC